GATGCTATGATAACAGCTCACATGACCAGATGACTAGGTAGCACATGTTTTAAGGACCTGGAGTATCCCATGGCACAGGAAGAAAGGCCATTTCAGAGAAAACAAAGTTGCTTCTTGGCCCTTTGGTCCCTCAGGCTTGGGCGGGAGCAACTGTCCTCCAGCCCCACACCCTGCCAACTTGTTTCTGCCAGGTGTTCTTGTGTGGGCAGGGGAGGAAGGGGCAGGCCAGCTGTCTCTGAATACCTCTCATGTGGCAGAGGGAGCTGGCGTACTCCGGTGCCCTAAGGGCTAGCACGAGGTGCAGCAGGTGCAAGTGTGGACAGACAGATCTTGGCCTATCATAGGAAGTGCTTTCTAATAGTGTCAGCACATTATGTCTTGTTCAACTTCATGTTTGTGTGCCTGGCGCTGGCCTGGCCCAGATGGGAGCTTGGCAAATGTTTATTGAATAAATGATTGAGTGCTGATGTCTTATTTGTGAACATAGTGAGCTCTTTGTCACTGAAGGTGTTCAAGGGAAGGGTGTCTTAGTGAGAGGGTTGAGGTGGGTAGTCTTTAGGGTCCTTTCCAGCCAGGAGATTTTATGTTTCTATAATTCAGAAAAATCTTATGGTGACTTCTTTTTTTATTACGTAACATACAGGGCTTCAGACAGCTTTGAGAGGGAAGGAGGGATGTTTGTGCAGTATGTATACAACCCCCCCAACATATGCACATATACCACATGCACACACATACACACACTTCATGTACATATACACTACACATCTACACATACACTGCATATATGTCATACACTCATATGCATACACATTCACACCACACAGATGCATATATACATCACATATATAGAACCAAAAACCATATCCATTGCTGCTGGAATGTCAATTTTGACTCATGGTGACTTACAGCAACGTCATAGGACAGAACAGAACTGCCCCATAGGGTTTCCAAGGCTGTAAATCTTTACAGAAGCAGATCGCCTTATCTTTCTGGAGCAGCTGGTTGGTTTGAACTGCTGACCTTCCAGTTAGCAGTCAAGTGCTTAATCACTGCACCACCAGGGCTCCCTTGTGACCCTTGAGCAACCCTATAGGACACATATACACATACACATATACATACATCACACATCTACACACACATACACCACACATACACACATGAACCCACCTACCACACATACACATGCACATACACACTCAGTCACTCTCCACCTTTGTAGGCTGAGTTATGTAGAATGGATACCATATACAGGCCTATGGTAGACAGAATTTCTAAAATGGCCCCCAAAGATGTCTCTTCCTAATGCCTGGATCCTGTGAGATCTCCTTCCTGTGTTTATCTGAGTGGCCAAACGTGATCACGTGAGTCTTTGAAAGCAGAGAGCTTTCTCACTCTGAGAGAAGAAGGGGAAACAAGAGATAGAGGCAGAAGCAGAATGATGAGCTTTGAAGAAGAAGGGGGATACATGCAAAGACTGGAGAGAGGCCTGTAGGAGCTGAGAGCAACCACTGGACAGCAGCCAGCAAGAACCATGGACCTAAGTCTTAGAGCCACATGGAGCTGAATTCCTCCAACAACGTGAATGAGCTTGGAATTCTTTCCCAGAGCCTCTAGATAAGAGCCCAATGTGGCTGACATTTTGATTTTGGCCTCTAGATAGCCTGAACAAAGAGCCCAGCCAAACCTGCCCAGACATCTAACCTACAGAACTGTGAGCTAATAAGTGGATGTTTTAACCCAGAGGTGCCCCAGAAGAAGGGCCTAGTGATCTATTTCTGGAAAAATCAGCCATTGAACTCCTTATGGACACAGTTCTACTCTGACACACATAGGGTCACCATGAGTTGAGGTTGACTTGATGCCAACTGTTTTTTTTTTTTTTTTTTTAAGCCATTAAGTTTGTAGTAATTTGTTATGCAGCAAAAAGAAAAGAAAAAACAAAACAACAACAACAAAAACCCTGAATACAAGACCATTTTTTGGGCTTCTTTTAGCTTTTCCAACTTTCTGAGATCAAAGCTCAGTGGTTAACTCTGCTTATGCCATGCCCCTACCCAAAGTGAGTGGGCTCTGAAGAGTTGGGCCCATCTATTATTAAACCTGTTTTTTCTGCCTACAAAGTTTGAGTTCCTGGCCCACAAATGTTCATAAGTCACAATACCTGAAGACCAAGCCTGTAGCCATACCTATGTCTTCAGGAAGGAGAATTCTTGGACACCTGCTAGTGGTTATTGGCTTCCTCATTGGGGCAGAAGAATATGAATATTCCTGCATTCCTGGGAATGCTTGCTCAGGCGGTGCAAGCAGTTTGCCATTGGCTGCTAATGCTAACTGAAAGGTTGGCGGTTCGAACCCACCCAGTGGCTCTGCAGAACAAAGTCCTGGGAATCTGCTTCTGTGAAGATTATTGCCAAGAAAACCCTATGGAGCAGCTACACTCTATAACATGTGGAGTCACCATGAGTCAGGGGCTGACTTAATGGCAGCCAGCATCAACTGGACAATGCTGGTGGGTTCTAAGCTCAGGCAGCCTGCCAGCTTTCTGATCATAATGGATTTTTTTCCCTCTCTCACCTTCACCTTTACTTGTTGCCTCTCTTTGGTAGGGCCAGGCCTCAGGCAATACTGGCTGAAGCATACAGGGATGAGATTGGCATAGAGGTAAAGACAGTGATGTGGTGGGCATGTGAGTGACACAGAAACCAGAGACTCATGGGGCCTGGCTGAACCTGTCAGAATGTGAGAAAAAACCCAAATTAATGGCTTTTCCTGTGGGTGTGAACATCCAAAAGTGCCAAAGGGAGAACCTTATCTCTCAAGGTGAATTTGCCTCTGAGGAATGATTGCATGGTGTGTGTTGGCATCTTCCTCATGGGATGCTTGGCTCAGATTCATCTGATAGATGGCATATGATAGATGGCAGGGAGAAAAGCCTGACAGGGGTTCCTGAGTTCAGGTTGAATTTCCTGAAGCAGCTGAGTGTGTCTGTTATGCAGGGCCAGAGATAGGACAAAGGTAAACTGAAAAGGGGCCAATTCCATCTTCTAGGTATAAACAGCCTTGTCCCTAAAGATGTGATAACACTGGATTGGCAAGTAAGAACCAGAAGACTATGGCAAGTGGCGGGTATAAAAATGGGAAGAGTACTGTGGTTGTTGAAAAATCAGTAGTGGGTCTGAGAAGGAGACCTGGCCAAGAGCCAAGAGGAAGACAGCTGCTTTTGGGTGAGCCATGAGGTCTATTTGGAGATCAGTTAATTTCTCAAGCAAGAGATCTCTAGTTAGATCTTGATCATCACCGGTAAGGGTCACTGATGTCTGGAAAGGAGGGGTTCGATGGGCTCTGATGGGTCATAGTTGTCACGGAGTCCTTTGTGGGGAGCTGGAAGTCTTGGTCATGGTGGGATAAATATCAGGAGGCTGCTGGGCCACTCTGGCACAAGGTAGCACAAGTAGTCATCTAGTTTCTGGCATTGGACACCCTTGAGTGTCAATGCAGGGAGGCTGGGTTCCATTTGGAGGCAGAAGGAGACAGGAGATGGGTGTGTTGATGACCTCACCTCACTGCTGGTTAATTTTCTTCCTGGATGATTCCAGGACTTGAGGTGATGTCATTTGAAATGGTGCTATTTCACTAATGAGGAAATTGGAGTTATCACAGAACAGCATTGCAAATAAGTATGAACTTATGGCATTTTAAACTAACCTTGTGTTCGCTTCCCCAAAGAGTTAGTGAAATCATCATCTTTGGGTGCTAAGGTGACAGAATCAGAAGGAACTGAAATCAATGCTGGTCAATCCCCTTCCCAAACAGAGATCCAGGTGTGTGCTTGATCCAGCAGCAGCAGCAGCTGGGATGGCAAACATCAGGCTTGAGGAGGGAGCTGCAGGGGTGGCTGAGTGGAGTAGGTCCCAGGGAGGCAGGAGGCCAGGGTCTAGATGTCACCTTGTTTTGTGAATTTGTATAAGCTCTTTCCCATCTCTAGGCTCTTGACTTCTTCTGTGTAAAACAACAAGGTCAAACTAGTTGATTGGCATGGTCTCTTTTGGTTCTAATGTCCCAAATTGCTAACTGTGAAATACAATGTAATTGTCTCTCTGTGACCTTGTTCATATTCCTCTCTGAGACTGTTTATATGTCAGGACTTAGAGTTAAGTCAACTGAAGATGGAGTCTGTAGGTGGTTCAAATGGTTAACATGCTCAGTTGCTAACCAAAAGACTGAAGGTTCAAGTCTACTCAGAGGCACCTTGGAAGAAAGACCTGGTGATCTACTTGAAAAAAATCAGCCAATGAAAACCCTGTGGAACCCAGTTCTACTGTGATACACATAAGGTCAACATGAGTGGAACTGACTCAGCCACAATTGGCTTTCTGAAGATAGCATACTTTTCACACCAGGGGAAAGCCTGGTTCATTGGATAACAACCTCACCTCACCTGGCCTCTGGTGTTAGTGCCCTTGCAGCATGGATGCCTGTCTGTCTGTCTCCCGGCTATCTGTCTTCTGTGGTATTTTCCTACTCTAATACTCTTTGTGCCAGGAGCTCTGGTAGTGTAGTGGTTAAAACATTCTGCTGCTAACCAAAAGGTCAGTGGTTCAAATCCACCAGCTGCTTCGTGCAAGAAAAATGAGGAAGTCTGCTTCTGTAAAGATTTATAGCCTTGGGGACCCTCTGTGGTGGTTCTACTGTGCCCGATAGGGTTGCTATGAGTTGGGATTGACTCAATGGCAGTTTTTTTTTTTTTTTTTTTAATACTCTTAGTGACCTCAGAGATGGATATTTGAAGGGCTGTTCTCTGTCTTATCCTAAGAGATGTGTGTAAGATGAAAGCATAAATGATTTGAAACTTCTTAATGGAAGGGCAGCACCAGTGATTAATCACAGCAAAATTAGCCTGCCATATACCTAACAAAGGCTCTTTATCATTGCCCAGAGAACTCAGCCAAGATAGCTACTGATGTCTCCCATATTTCCTTGCCCTTGGTTCTTAGAAAGAAAAGTTTCAAGATGATTCGGTCCCAGTCCCTGTCTCTGCAAATGCCAACACAGCAAGATTGGAAGGGCCCTCCAACAGCCAGTCCGGCCATGTCTCCTACAACCCCTGTGGTCACTGGAATTACTTCCCAGCCTGTACCAGCACCCTATACCATGCCTGAGTTCCAGCGGGTCACCATCAGTGGAGATTACTGTGCTGGGGTAAGGCATCTCCCACTCCTCTACCCTACAGGCTCCTTCCTCCAGGAGTCTGTGTTGTGTGTGCCTTGTATGCAGAGACCAAGGGCCCCTCAGATCATTAAGGTCATGGTTATCCCAGAAGCCTGGTCCAGTCTGGTGAGTGTCTGGGAGGTGGCAGGGAGGAGGCAAGTCCTAGCAGAGGTAGGGGGTCATGGGTGTGTCTAGGGAGCTGCCCTAAGCCTGTGAGGAGAGCTTAGGGCTGCAAGCTGCTATACTGGCTGTGAGCTGTAAATTCAGTGCATTCTCTAGGATCAGAACACTGTCTTTTGTCCCTGTAGTTCATTGAGAAAGGTGCCAGTATGGACCCTTCAGGGCTCCCAAATATTTAATAGATTTGGTCACTGTTTACATGAAATCAGTTATTGCTGATTCAGCTTTTCTTACCTGCTAAGTTTGGAAACACAGGCTAGATCCTCTCCCCAACCCCCAATCAGGGAGAGAGGGCAGAGATTTAGCTGTATCTCTGATGATTTATTTATTCAAACATCAAAGTTCTGAGGGAGAATAAAAGGAGTAATTGCTTAAGGGGCACTGAGCTTCTGTTAAGGATGATGGAAAATGTTGAAAAATGATAGTGGTAATGGTTGCAAATATGAATGTAATTAATGTCACTGGAATGTACATGTTAAAAAATTGAAATGGCAAATATTTTGTTTTATATATACATACATGTTGTTGTTGTTATTTGCCATCGAGTCGGCCCCGACTCATAACGACCCCTCCTTGGGTTTTCGAGGCAGTATCACTACGGAAGTAGGAATGCCCAACCTTCCTTCTGAGGAGTGGCTGGTGGGTTTGAACCACCAGCCTTCTGGTTAGCAGTCAAGTGCCTTAGGCATGTATATACATATACATACATACATACATACACACACACACACACATAAAAATATACTTACTACAATAAGTACTTGGAAGGAAGATTGGGCAATCTACTTCCATAGTGATACTGCCTGGGAAACCCAAGGAGGGGTCGCTATGAGTCGGATCCGACTTGAAGGCAGTGAGTTTTTGAGTTTTTACTACAATAAAAAAGAGATTTGGAACAATTATGAAAAGTATTAGTATTATTAAATCTGGAAGGCAGGTCCATGAATGTCTATTATATTATCTTCAGTGGTAGTCTATATATTTAAAATATTTCAAAACTAAAAATTATTATTATTTTTTATTAAAGCAGGGGAGGAACCTGTGCTCCTCCCTCTGTTATGTCACTGTGTCCCTGTTAGGACTGTCTCTTGAACTGTTAGCTCCCCAAGCTCACTCAGATTTCTGAGCCTCATCCCTCCCAGACAGACAAAGATGAATTATCTCATTCATCTTTGTCTGTGAGGCAGCTGTGGGAAAGTAATTATGTCCAAGGGCTTTGGAAATCAAGCAGATCAGAGTCTGAATTTTGACTTTGTGACTTGCTGGCAAGTTATTGATCCTCTTTGGGTCTCAGTTTCCCCATCTGTAAAATGGGTTGCAATGAGGATAAAAATGAAATCCAGGGAAAAGATCTGACACATAACACATGTCAACAGTGTTTGTTGACTAGTTGAATTGGGGTTATTACCCAGATTTAATCAGAAGCCTGAGAATGGCCAAGCAAGAGGCTGAGCATGCAGATTTTTTTTTTTTTTTTTTTAATGTGAAGGACTCATGTGTTTTCTCAACTGAAAACAATGGCACTTGTCCTTATCAGGTGATAGGATTCTGGCTTTGTCTCTTCATGTGTCAGGTGCCAACAGCATGGTTTGTGGTTTAATTGACAACATGAGTTTGCAGGCTGGAGTCTCTGCTCCCCTCTAAGCTGCCTTAATTTTCTTCTTGTACTGGGTGTCCCCACAACCACTCCCTAGATTTGCTGGGAGGACTCAGGACTCAGCATATAGTTTTATTCATAGCTATTGTTTATTACAAGGAGCTCTGGTGGTGCAGTGCCTAAGACATTTAACTGCTAACCAGAAGGTTGGCGGTTCAAACCTACCAGCCACTCTGCAGGAGGAAGACCGGGCAATCTACTTCCGTCAAGATTTACCACCTCAGAAACCCACTGGGGTCACGATGAGTCAGAGTCTACTCTATGGCACTGGGTTTGGTTTTGGTTTTTATTGTTTATTACAGTGACAGGCTACAAAGCAAACTCTGCAAAGGGAAAGGGGTGATGTTCAGAAGAAACCAGGGCAATGTCCTCTCTGGTGGAGTCTCCATACAGGTTGCATTTAATTCCTCCAGCATGGGATTGGGACAACGCATGTGAAGTGTTTCTTTCAGGGAAGCTCATTAGAAACTCAGCACTCAGATTTTTTATTGGCGACTGATCATATAGCACCCCCTTTCTAGCACCGACCAAAATTCTGGATTACCAGAAGGAAAGCAGGAGCTCAGCACATTGTTTGTACAAATAGTTGAGACATGGCGAGTCCTTCTTATCAGTTAAGAATTGTGGGAACTCTTCTGAAATCAAGTTTCCAGATGCCTGGCAAGGGTCAATCTTGCAATAAATGGGTCTTTCTATGTGCCTGGCCTGCATTATTAACTCTTTTCTGCACACCTCCCTCCTGCAGATCACTGTGGAAGACTATGAGCAGGCTGCCAAGAGCCTAGCCAAGGCCCTGATGATCCGGGAGAAGTATGCAAGGCTTGCTTACCACCGCTTCCCACGGACCACATCCCGATACCTAGGTCATCAGCGAGCTGACACTGCCCCTCTAGAGGAGGGTCTCCCAAGTACGATGCTGTGGCTGGAGGTGGGGTCCCAAATGTAGGCAGGACCCAAGGGTTGGTCAAGGTTCTGCTGACTGGAAGCATTTCCACCAGATGGTGTTTTAAAGGCAGGACCCTGGCTTCTTCTACATTGATGTTTTTGATTTCCCCAAGATGGTGCAGTGGGCCTAGCCCTCTATAGAACTGAGCTATGGAAGTTAAGAGAGAAAGAGAGATGAAAGACAGTCTGTGCTCTTGGGGAATCTACAAGGGAGACAAAACTATCTGATGTGGAATATTAACACGATCAGACAGTAAATGCTGAATCAATTGTGGGGTGGGTCAAGGGTAGGTCAGAAGTCATGTTCCAGGAACAGGGAAGTAGACTCTGGGGTAAAACATATCTGTATTAAGATCTTAGCTTTGCTACATTTTGGGACCTTGGGCAAGATACTTCTCCAACTCAGTTTCTCAATCTGTAAAGTGGGAATACTAACAATATCTATCCTCTGGGCCTGTTGTGGGAATTAAATGAGAGAATAGACATGAGGTTCTTAGTGCAGTTCTGCCATCTAGTGAGTCTTCAGTACATGTTAGTCTGTTTTTTATGCTGTCGAGTTCAGGCAAGGGGAGGGAGGTCAGAGAGGGCAAGGATGGTTTCCTGGCAGAGTCCATGTGGTCTGTGAAGGACCCAAGAGTAGTAGGGGCTATAGGATAAGGAATATAAGGAGGGGAATAGGAAATCTTGAAAGCTGGTGGTGGGGAACTTAGGAGAACCTATCTGCCTATGCCTGGAACTCTGGCTATGCCTGGATCTAGTTGGGTAGTGCCAAGTTGACTTCTTATTTCCAGCTTCCTTGAAGCTCTGAGGCCTAGACTTTGAGCATCCGTTACCACCTGGAGCTCTGGGCAAGTCTCAGCCCTTCTGGTGCCATTTCTCTGCCTGTCCGAGGGGGGTAGATTCCACCACCCCTTGTTTGGGAAAAGATGGGAATGACTGCCAAATATACACTTTATACTTAATAGGGTATCTGGGGTCCTGGCCATGAGTTGGTGAGGTGGAACAAGCTCCAAGAGCTCAAACTGAGGCTTCACTCTGGCTTTTGTAACTCTGTCTGCATCTCATGGGCCACTGCATGGCCACTGGCACACTTAAGGGTCTACTGAACTGGCCTGTGGTTGCACCTTATGGGAGGCCATCAGTGCCTAGTTCTGCTTCAGCTCCACTGTGACTCCTCCCATCTGCTCTTATGGGCAGTCTGTTTCGAGCACTGATGGAGGATGCCAAGGCAGGTCACTTGTCTTGCTCACTTCCTTGAGGAGAATCCCAGGGTTTCCTCTAGCTGGGCCTGGCAGCTTTGCAGCTGGATCCTGTGTGGGGTTGGCTGATTTGCAGAGAGCTGAAGCCCACAGTTCTGTTGCTGTTTGGCACCAACTCATTCCTTGGCCAGAGACAGAACTTATCAAGAAAATGTATTATGATAGTAATAAGAATAAACCAAAAAAAACCCAAACCCATTGCCATTAAGTTAATTCCAACTCAAAATGAGCCTATAGGACAGAGTTGAACTGCCCCCATAGAGTTTCCAAGGCTGTAGATCTTTAGGAAAACAGACTGCTACATCTTTCTCCCACAGAGCAGCTGGTGGGTTCAAACTGCTGACCTTTTGGTTAGTAGCTGAGTGCTTAACCACTGTGCTACTAGGGCTCCTAGTAATAAGAATAATACCCTATAATTCATGTGTAGGGGCATACTATTTTCAAAGCATTTTCCTGTATACATATTACACACCTCACACAAGCCCTATAAGGCAAGGGGTATTATCTTTGGATGAGGACACAAGATCAGAGAGGTAGTGTGGTTTGCCCAAAGTCTCACAGCTGGGAAATACTGAAGAGGTATTTTTCCATAGTGATACCACCTTGGAAACCCAAGGAGGGGTCACTATGAGTTGGATCTGACTCCACAGCAGTGAGTTTGGTTTGGTTTTTTGGTTATGAGCTAACTCTACTCATAGCTGTGGGGAATGGACTACTCTGTCATTGGCATTCCTTGATCTGTGGAAGGGATGTTCCCTATTTTGTGCCTACCTGGGAACTGAAGGTGGTGGTGCTTCTCATCTCACCCCTTGGCTGCCCTGGGCTCAGGAAGATGTGGAAGGACAGAGACAATTTCCCACTGGCAGTCCCTGGTGCTATCTGCTCTCTTGCTGGGAGAAGACATAGCTGCCTTTGGAACATCTCTCAGGGTCCTGAAGTATTCTGGAAGCTGAAGCCCATTTCAATTACCAAAAAAAAAAAAAAAAAAAAAAACCACAAACTTATTGAAGTGTCAGCCATGTGCTGGGACTAGTCTAGTGCCAGTGACTGTTCTAGGCAGTGGGGGTGTTGTTGTTGTTAGGTGCTGTTGAGTATAGCAGTGAACAAAACAACCCAAAATCTCTGTCTACATGGAGATTCTATTTGAGTAGGGAAGGCATGTAATACACAAGATGAATAAGTAAATTATTTTGTATAATTTTAAGGGCCAAGGAGAAAAAGTGAAGCTGAGAAGGGTGACACGGAATGTTGATCAGTGCGGGGTGGGTGAATTTTAGGGAGGATGGCCAGGACAAGCCTAGTTGAGAATGTGACTGTTGAGCATATGTGAATTTAGGAGGTCGGGAGACTTTGCCATCACTTAATCATGTTTTGCAGACTTCCACCCTCCCCCAAAGCCCCAGGAAGACCCCTACTGCCTAGAGGATGTACCTCCCAACCTGGGCTACTTGGTCCACATGCAGGGGGGCATCCTTTTCGTGTATGATAACAAGAAGATGCTGGAACGCCAGGAGCCCCACAGCCTGCCCTATCCTGACCTGGAGACCTACACAGTGGACATGAGCCACATCCTGGCTCTCATCACTGATGGCCCCACGTAAGCCAGCTTTCTGAGTTTGCCTCTCTTTGAATGGGTGCTAGCTGTTGGAAGGTGCTGGAAAAGGCCAAGTAGGCCACCCCTCTGCTCTGGCCTTTCTTGAACTTAAACCATCCCAGAAGGAATGGTATCCCTGTTCCCCAGTGCTTTGTGGGTTTCTGCGACAATTTTCTTTCACTATCTCTCCCTGGAGGAGCTCTGGTGGCACAGTGGTTAAAGCACTAACCAAAAAGGTTGATGGTTTGAACCCACCAGCTGCTCTATGGGAGAAAGATGAGGCAGTCTGCTTTCATGAAGATTACAAGCCTTGGAAACCTTATGGGGCAGTTCTACTCTGTCCTGTAGGGTTGCTATAAGTCGGAATCAACTCAGTGGCAGTGGGTTGGGTTTGGTATCTCTCCCCACCGCTGCTGGGCGGCCTGCTATTTTTCATCAACTTGCTATCTTTTTCAGCATGGGGAACAGTGGGAGGGAAGGTCGGAGGAGCTGGCACATTTGTAGAGTTGGTACTACCTGTCTGTTTTGCACACATAAGTGTACAGCTTATGATTGCTGGTGACCCCTGTGTACCTTAAAATAGTAGGCACCCAAGCAGGGCAGTAGCCTTGCAGAGAGTAACCAACCCAGGGCACTAATGTGGATGATGGAAGAGTGATGAAGACTGTTGCTTCTTGTGTTGGGTTTTCCATGTTTCTGGAGGGGAGACTGGCAGGGAGACTGGGGACTTTGTGCCATGCCCCCCATATTGCTTAGTGAGTGTGGCTTGAGATAACCTGGCAGGCAATTGCTTTCCTGAATTTGGCCCCTCCCTTTCTTGGTGAGCACTGAAGCTAGTCAGCAGTGGAGGTTCAGCATGCCCTGACCCTGAGAGCCCCAGCAGAGGGGAGGGGCTGTGGGAAAGGAGAGGAGTCCCTGAGTGGTGCAATGGTTAATGCGCTCAGCTGCTAACTGAAAGGTTGGTAGTTTGAGTCCACCCAGAGACACCTCAGAAGAGAGACCTCGCAACCTACTGAAAAGTAAGCCACTGAACACCGTGTGGAGCACAGTTCTACTCTGACACACAGGGGGCCACCGTGAGCAGGTACTGTCTCCACAGCAACTGGTACCTGGGAGGGGGAAGGAACGTCTTTCTTGCTCCTGCCTTTTGGACTTAGCTTGGAATGGGTGCAGCGCCAGTCCCCAAGGGAGGCAGAGTGGGCTCTCAGGTGAACTGGGCATCTGGCTCTTGATCCTCACTGATTTCAAAGCAGAACTAAGATCTGGTGGAGGATGGACCAGTTCTTAGCCAATGTGAGGAGGAACTTTCAGGGAAAGCCTTGGGAAACAGGGGAAGATGGAGGGAACTGGCTATTCTAAGAGGTGTCTGAGCAGTGGCTGTCCTGCTTGGGAAATTGTTGAAGAGAGTCCTGCCTGGAGATAGAGACTGGTGAAATGACCTTTAAAGTCCCTTCCAACTCTGAACTCTCTGGCGTTCCTGTCTTGGCAGATAGGTGCACTGTTTACAGAGTTAGCAGCCACTTTTTATAATAAAAGCCCAGGTCATTGAATGGGAAGGGAGCAGCTGTTTGTTTGAGGGGCACAGGGATAATGTGAATTGTGGTTGCAGGTTCCCTGTGGTGTGGGTATGGGGATGTGTCTGGGCACCTGGGAAGTGAGCTGCAATTAGTGAGCACCTTCACCCCTAGGAAAACCTCATTCCTGCCCTTGAGTTCCTGAGAATTTGGGGCCATCAACTCTTACAGAGAGTTCAGTAACAGTAACAAACATCCCTACACTCCTAATCTGCCTGATGCAAAACATCCTCCTCTAATCCAAGTTAAGAGCTCCTTAGGTCTTGGGATTTGAGAGGTGGCCATTTGTCAGGAGCAAGGTACCCCTTTGCTCCAAGATGGGCCATTCTTGCTTTATAGTTTGACTGTATTACTGATCTGGGCAGAACTTAAAACTCCTTTCAAAGAATTGAAGGTGGTCGAGGCTAGGTGGGATCACTGGATGGTGAAGATGGTTAATATGCTTGGTTGCTAACTCAAAGATTAGATGTTTGAATTTACCCAGAGGCTCCTCCAAAGAAAGGCCTGGAGATCTACTTCTGAAAAACCAGCCATTGAGAGCTGTACGGACCGCAGTTCTCCTCTGACACGCATGAGGTCACTATGAGTTGGGATTGACTCAACAGTAACTGGTTGTTTTTGAGGGTAGATAGGAGGAAAGAAGGAAGGAGGAGGAAGGAGAGAGACTCACTGAACATTCTTTATGCCTAGAGTAGGTCCTTTCACACATAAACTAATTTAACCCTCATTTCAACCTTGGGCGTTACCATCTCCATGTTTCTTCATGGGAAGCCTAAGCACATAAAGCTAGAAGCAGCACCTGTATCAGGTTCCAAAGTCTGCTCTCTACTGCCTGTATTTACCTATTTTTAGAGCACTTACCCATTTTATAGAGCGCTCAGATGTGGTTAAACAGTCAGCTGAGTCTGTAGAAAGCTGTAGGATAAGAAACTTCCTTATCCCTCCCTGGCCCCATGCTGCCTGAGCCCTGGTCCTTCCACCACAGGGTCTGTGGCTGCAGACACTGGAAGTCTCCAAACTGGAGAGCCTGATTGCAACTTTTCCTCACCTGTGGTTTCTCCCCCTCCCCTAACCTGCAGGAAAACATATTGCCACCGGCGACTGAACTTTTTGGAATCCAAGTTCAGCCTTCACGAGATGTTAAATGAAATGTCCGAATTCAAAGAGTTGAAGAGTAATCCCCACCGAGACTTCTATAACGTGAGAAAGGTGCGTTAGTGGGCTAGGGTTCAGAGCCAGCTCTGCTAGGCCCACTCCCAGGCCTCTGGGATGTGGTGAGCCCCTCTGGGGCTAGTCCCCTGAGTGAGATCAGGCCCTTAGCTAAGGGAGGCGCCATGCATTGTGCAGAGGGAAGGCTTGGAGAGATGCAGGTCTTTGCCTCAGGCAGTGGCTCAGACAGTGCTTGGTAGATCACTCTAAAGGGAAACATTTGTCCTTGTTGAGACTCTGTTAGTATGTGCCTTCTTCCTTGGGACATAGGGCATGGACTGTTAATTGGTCATGAATGTTGAGGCCAGGCTACTCTTAAGGTAGGGGGTATATTTTGAATTCATCATGTTTACTTTGACCTTGAGGCTTATAGTTTAGCTTCCTTAAGGATCTGATGTGCTCTTATCTTTGCCCCTCTTGGCCTGGGCTCCTGGCACCCTCAACCTATAGGGGCAGGTATGTATGTTAAATGAATGTGGCCTCTGGCTCTTCTGTTTTCTTCCATATGCCGGGATCAGTGCTAAGCACTGGCATTTGATGGTGAACAAGAGTCAGTTTCTGTCTGCCAGAAGATCCTAGTCTATTACTATTAGTGTGATAAGTGGTGTGATATGGGTGGCTTCCAGGAGGAGGTCAGACTGAGTTGACTTGAAGAGTGAGTAACAGGCAGAGGGTGGGGTAGGGATATGGAAGTGATGGCATTCTATTGTTGTTGATGTGTGCTGTTGAGTTGCCCCCAACTCAACCAACTCATAGCGACCCCTCCTTGGGTTTCCTTGGGTTTCCGAGGCAGTGTCACTACGAAAGTAGATTGCCCAACCTTCCTTCTGAGGAGTGGCTGGTGGGCTTGAACTGCCAGCCTTCTGGTTAGCAGTCAAATGCCTTAGGCACTAAGCTACCAGAGCTCCTAGGCAGAGGGAATAGCATATGTGAATATCAGGAGGGAGAGGGTGGGGCTGGGAGAGATTATAGTGGTACTTTGATAAGTCTGCAAGCAATGCAGTGTGGCTGGAGCTTAGAGTGGGGGAAGGAGAGGGTGTTGGCTTTTGGGGGAGTAAGGCTACAGAGGTGTGTGGAGGTTCTGGGTCATGCAAGGGCCCACAGTTTTCTCAGAGAAGCAGGGGGTGGGCTGAGGTATGATAGTGAGCTGGGGAGAAGATGATGGGGGAAGAGTGGGGATTAATTCTGTCTGGAGTTGAGTCACAGTGGGGTTGTCATCTTTATAGGGGCCTCTGTCCCAACTGGGACTCTTGAGGACCACCCTAGGGTCAGCTTTTGGTAAGGGAAGGTGAAATAGTGGAGGATATGGGCCCTCTGGGAAAGCCTAGCTCAGGGCTTCCTGACCTCCTGGCTGGCTGGGAGCGAGCAGGCAGCATCCTAGAAGGAAGCCACCTTCAGGTGCCCTATCCTCCGTTGAATGCCATGGGGTCTAAAGGGGACTCCCATTTGGGTGGGATCAAGAGTTTTAAGAAATGAGTTTGGCTTCAGTTTATGGATTATGAGAGGCCTGGGGAAGTATCTTGGAATTTCTAGGTAGATACCACCTCCTGAACACCCTGGCATTTTAATCTCCAAGCACTATTTGCTCACTTCTCTGTGAGCCTTAGGTGTTCAATCAGGTGGGTGCCTCAGTCACTATGCAGTCTCATCTCAGCCCTGCCCAGAATGGGACCCACATGTCCAGCACATGCCCAAGGAAAGTCCTCTGCCTGCCTTGTGCAGCCCTGCCCCTCTCATATGGATGGCATGTGGCTGACTGCTTCCTGCCACCCCGGGGTGGAGCTGTCCTCTCTTACTGTACTGACTCTGATTCCCACATCACATCTGTTAGCTTCTGAGGTGGGACCCCAGCAGGTGTGCTTGGACCAAGCATCTGCTTACTGTCTAGTTTGTGGCAGAGAATCCTGACGTGGGATTCTGATGCCTCATGCTGTTTCTTCTTGGGTTTCCTGTAGCTCTGGGGGTAAATGTATTCTATACAGAGATGGCCTAGATGCATGTGCTGTGACCTGAATATACTGGCACCTCCATCAGTTTACAAAAATGGTCCTGGGTCTGCTCTGAGCCAGTCCTGTGTCTGCTTTTCCTGAGTAAGGATGAGGCCTGCCTCCTGGGCTGGCAGCTTCACTTACCTTCAAAGCCTGTACTGTGGTAGGAGAACTGGCTTCCTGAAATCCAGGATGGGCTGGAAGGGCTGCCTCCATATGTCCAAGGTGGCTGCTAGTGTCACTTGGGCAGGCCAGTTCTGTGTGTGAGGGCAGGAGCTATGGTATGGCCACGGGTCCGTGTGACTGATGTTTTTTGAATTACCCACATCATCATAGCAGGTGATGGGTTATGACACCTTGAGGTCTAACCAGCATGACTGTGTCAATGAGACACTAGTTTTGTGACCCGAACTAAGAACAAGGACTGGGCATATTTGCTGCTTGGGCCTGGGTAAGAGTAGACATTTCCCACTTTGCTTTAAGCAAATAGGTTTCATATTCTGTGCCCAATATCATCGACTGGGAGTGGCTCCCTGAGGCTACTCCTGAAGCTTAGTGAAAAGAGCACTGTAATTGATTATTGATTTCTGCCATGGATATGGATATGGTCAGCAATGGCTCAGGTGCCAGGCATTGGCCATCGTTGTTTGGAAACTCTACCGCGTGTTTAGACCTGGATCTTAAGTGAAAGCAGGGAATTAACTTAGATCTTTTGGTAATTTGAAAACATTGACATCCAATGATAGCCTCTTTCACTTCTTCCTAAAATAGTCACCTTTGGGATTCTGAACTTTGGACTGGATGCTTCCTGGATTTTCCAGTTGCTTTTGTCCTTGAGCTTGTGTCTCATGGAGCTAAGGACAGGCTGAACCCACAGTGTTATTTCATTGGTAAGCTGGAAGACAGAACCAGAGGCCTAGAATTTACTGAGTCATGCTGAGGTAGTTGACCAAAGCTGTGTCCAGCTGGACTAAGCCAGGCTGACCTTCTCTTGGATGTCCCTCCTGAGTCTAGCCCTGTACCTGAGGTGCCTGAGCCTTGGATGGTTTGGGTGATGTTTTTGTTTTTGATGCTTTGAATTGTTTCATTTATCTCATGTCTAGTGATCTGTCTTTCTGGTAGGAGTGACAGGATAAACGGCAGGAAGAGCCCTGATGAGTGAGTGATGTAGCCAATGGCATGAGCTGTAGATCAGATGTCTGGTTTGGCATGATTTAGAGATGCTCCATCAGCGATCAACAGCATTCCCTGGCCTGAGGTCAGCCTGCCTCCTCACTCCTGCCCTGGCAGAGTACACAGTTGGCTTCAGCAATTACTAGAGTGCAATGTGGTGGCTGGCAGTAACTTGGCCTGTAAGTCCTGTCACCCTCACTGGAGCGCTCTTTTAGGATCCTCAGGCTTGTGGATGGGAAGTCAAATGCTCACTTCAAGTCAGCTCTCAGCTTAGTCAGGGCTCCATTTCTCCAGGGTTAGTGGCTGAAGGGAGTATGGGGGACATTCAAGCAACTAGAAAAAGTCCTGGGGGTGGAGCTCAGTGAAAAAGGGGAGAGTGGGGATGAGGGATATGGAGATATGGGTAGGGACCAAGTCATATCAGTAGGGCCCTCCTCTTAAGATTAAGTATTTCATATCTTGGTAAAGTTGTATTTTAAAAAAATTCATTCTAGTTTTGTGTGGAGAGTGGATTGAACCAGAGCAAGAGAAAAAAGTGGCAAGTTTGGAGTTCATTGTGATAATTCAGGAGTGAGAGGTGAAAACTTCAACTCTTGTGGCAGCAGTGAGGTTAGAGAACATTGTATGGATTTGAGATCTATTTGGAAGGTAGAATTGATTGGACTGACTGAGTGCTGGGGAAGGGAACAGGGGAAGGCCAAAGATGACTTCCAGATTTCCAGCTTGAACAGCTATATGCAAGACACACCATTTCCTGAGATAAGGAAACGTGGGAGACTATCAGGTTGGGGCTAGGGCCAGAGATGGAGTCAACTTTTGAAATATTAAACTTGACTTACCTTTGAGTTACTCAAGTGGAGATGTCAAGTAGGTAGTTGTGTGTATAATTCTGGAGCTTTTGATTGCCAATATAAATGTAGGAGCTGTTGACATAAAGAGGGTAACTAAAGGCCTGAAATAGATCAGATATCTCTGAGGAGAGTGTATAGTGAGAGAATTAAGAGGACCCAGGACCAGGCCTGAAGGAATTTCAAAACTGAGAGATCTGGTTTCACGATGAGTCTACTGAAGAATCTGAAAAGGAGAAGTCAGAAAGGCAGGACAACTTGGTGTCACAGGAACAAGGAAGATGTAGAAGACTGAGAAATCCCACAAGATATTGTGAGACCCTGGTGAACCTTTTTTCCTTTTTAAATTAGAGTGTAAGTTTACAGAACAAATTGGTTTTCCATTCAACAATCATACACATTTTATTTCATGACATTGATCGCAGTCCCAACACAATAGCACTCTTCCCACTTCCTCCCTGTGTTTACCATATCCATCTGTCCTTTCCTATCTATTCCTGCCTTCTGGCCTTTATCCCTGGGCAGATACTGCCCTTTTGATCTCATATGGTTGATAATTCAAAGGAGTGCCTACCTCCCTGGTGTTTATTTTTCACCCCATAGTCCTGTCTATTGTTTGTCTGAAAGCCCAGCCATAGGGGTGAGTTCAGTTCCAGGCTTGAAGGGTGACTAAGGCCTATATAGTATGGGAAAAGTTCCCTGTGCATTTCTGCTTTTAGGATTTGTTCTAAGCTATTTGGCTTTGGGCCCCACATCTGGCTTAGAGTCAGTAGAGCAGCTGTTCTTTGGGTTTGGGTGCTCTAAGGTTTAGATGAGGTGTAACCTTCTGTGGTAGTTATGTTTGTGTGTCAACTTGGCTGGGCCTGGTTGAGTGGCTGGGCAGCTGGTGGTAGTTATTCCCCATGATGAGACTGGCAATCAACTCCATGGTGGACTCTACCATAAATAGCTGAGTAGCTGCCTTTGGGTATGTGGTCTGCTTCCTGTATTTAAGGAGAAGCCTTGGGAATGGTCTCTAGCCTTTGGCACGCTTGGACCCTGCATGTAGCCGTGTTGTTGCTCAGTAGCCTGCTATGCTCTGCCAACCTTGGGCCTTACAATGGACTTAAGTTAATGGCCTGCTGTGTGGTTTGGTAACATTGGGACTGTACCTTTTTACTTGTCAACCTTGGGGCTTCTCAGCCTCAACAGCTAACAGCCATCTGAGTGAGGAAACACCTCTAGCTCCACTGGGCCAGGAGCAGGAGACAGAGCTGGACCCCAAGGTTGAGGGGCTTTCACCCAGCTCCTAGAGCCTGGCACTTGAACTTTGACTTAAAGCCTCCAGATTGTAAAAATAAACTCCTGTTTGTTAAAGCCATCCCATTTGTGGTATATTTCTTGTCAAAGTGGCACTAGGTAACCAGAACACCTTCCAAGCCAAGGAAGTGTGTGGTGGTGGCTGGTCTCTGATGCCTTCCTTGCTTTGGGAATGCTCTGGGGGTTCCAAGAGAGATCAATGTGAAGAGTAGGATTTTGTGGAGCATTTGGTGGGGGCTTAGGGTATTAGGAAGATGTGGACATCACTGGAATGACTGGAAACGACCATACATATTCATTTGTTCATTCATCCATCTGTTCAGTCAACTAATACTTTGTATGAGGCTCTGACATTAGCACTGGAGACTTACGTGCATTGGACATTGCTTCTGTCCTTGAGGACCTCCCAGTCTAGTGAAGGAGTAGACAGAAGAATGTTAAAGTGGATCAAGAGGACATATATAGGAATAGGACTTTCTGTGCTAGGCTTCCAGGTTGTTTAAGGGAAAGAACGATCAGTTGTGCTTGAGGGATCAGGATTGGCCTCCAAGTAAAGGAAGTCACAGGAAATTTCCAGGTCGATGAGATTGGTGGGGAGGAACAAGGCATTCCAGGCAGAGGAAGTGCATGGGCAAATGACATGGTGTGGAGTAGTGTGGGGCTGTGAGCACCTGTGAGTTGTTTGTTATGGCTGGAGCACAGGATTGTGCAGGCTAAGGAGCATGGACTTTATCTTGAAGATGATGTGGGCCACTGAAGATCTGTTAATAGAGGGGTGACCAAATTAAATTTACATTTTAGAAAGGCTAGACAGAGGCCAGTTGGGAAGTCTAGCAGGAGGAATGGGGAGGGGTTTAGGCATTGGTGGGGGTTGCTTCCGTGGTCCATAAGGTGCTGAGGCTCTGTGGCTCCACAGTCGGGGTTGGGCATCTTGACTTTTTTTGCTGGAGATGGTGGCCTGGCTCATGGGCCAGTGGGTGCTGTGTTGCAGGTGGACACACATATCCATGCAGCTGCCTGTATGAATCAGAAGCACTTGCTGCGCTTCATTAAGCACACCTACCAGACGGAGCCTGACAGGACTGTAGCCGAGAAGCGGGGCAGGAAGATCACCCTACGGCAGGTGTTCGACAGCCTGCACATGGACCCCTACGACCTCACTGTGGACTCTCTGGATGTCCATGCGGTATGTGCACTGCTACCCAGGGCCTCAGGCCAAGAACAGCCCTTGTTGGGGTCTCAGTCCTCTGGAACGTGGCCACAGTTGTGCTTCAAGTGAGCCTGACTTTGTAAGCAGCTCTGTCTTTTAACTGTGGAGATAGTGAGAGGTGATTTGGCCTGAGAAAATAATAAGGCTGGGGAGCAGCCATGGGGCTGTTATTTATTTATATAAAAAGATGACTTCCATGTGCCTTACTGACTTTCCAAAGTTATTAAAAGACCACATGAGGTAATGTGGGGAAAGGGCTTGACAAAGTCTAGTTAGTAATAGGCAATGCTTTATTATGGATTGCTAAATGATCTAGTATTGCCTGTACACTAAGCCAGCCATGCTCCTAGCACTGTACCTTGGAGCATAAAGCCTCCTGAGCTACCTTCACAGAGGGCCTCACAAAAGGGCTCCATGGCTGACTGAGTGGGGATCATAGTCCTGGCCCTCAAGAATTCCCAAGATGTGTCTAAGGCATTTGACTGCTAACCAGAAGGTTGGCGGTTCTGATCCACCAGCCACTCCTTGGAAGGAAGACTGGGCAATTTACTTCCATAAAGATTTGGTGGTAAGCCTTGGAAACCCAAAGGGGGTCAGAATCGACTCAATGGCAGTGAGTTTGGTTTTCTTGAAATAAATGACATAGAGGACATCTTTATGGTGGCCCACAGGTGTCTGTAAAGGCCCAGAGAAAAGGATGTGTGTGTGAGTACAGAACAATGTGTTGATCTGGCTTGTGATCTCCTCTCTCCAGGGCCGGCAGACTTTCCATCGTTTTGACAAGTTCAACTCCAAGTACAACCCTGTGGGAGCTAGTGAGCTGCGTGACCTCTATTTGAAAACTGAAAACTACCTAGGAGGAGAGTACTTTGCTCGAATGGTCAAGGTGAGTGAGCTGCCAAGCTTTCCTCAGGGGCCAGGGGGCTGGCATATCTGTCAGCATCTGCCTTCAGAGGGTGGGGCCCTGTGTGGCCTGGAGCCCTCCTCTACCCACCATCTAACTCAAGTACAGGCTGAGGTGCCTAGGTGCCCAGTGCTTGCCAAGACTGCCCTTCTCTGGGCTGTGTTGCAGTTGTAGTTGCAGGGAAGAGGAAGGGAAGGATACCCATATCCAGCAGAGCTCACAGCATCCAGGCTGTCTGCCTGTCTGTTCACAGAATAGCTCACCATGGAGAAGCTTCTGATGGTTGGCCTTGCTCTGCAGTGTGACTGGGTGTAGATCCAAGGCCTTCCTCCCCAGGAAGGTATCTCTGCTGAGGCTAAGCAAATGCTCACACAGTAGCCCTGGGATTTAGATAAGGCCTTCCTAGTGCAGGAGCAGGTGGCCAAGGGGGCTGCATGAAGCAGCAGCTGGTGGCAGAGAGCTGGGGTGGGTCTCTCAGTCAGCTGGGATGCTCTTGGGCTGACCCAAGCTCTTGGTGATAGGAGGTGGCCCGGGAGCTGGAGGAGAGCAAGTACCAGTACTCGGAGCCACGGCTCTCTATCTATGGCCGCAGTCCTGAGGAGTGGCTCAACTTGGCCCGCTGGTTCATACAACACAAGGTCTACTCACCCAACATGCGCTGGATCATCCAGGTGCCCCGGATCTAGTAAGTAAGGAGCCATGCTGGCTGCCCTCTGCCTTCTGGGGACGCCAGTCTGTCCAGGACTATTGAGTTTGTATTAGTGAGATTGGGGCCTGTTCTGGCTTAGGCCCCTCATTCCCCAGGGATTCTCCCACAATGAAGAGTGGCTAGCAAAGACGGTTTTGTGACACTTCTTCAAAGAATATTTATGTGCAAAGCCCTGGTGGGAACTACTGCCCTACTTTCTTCTCATTGGAGGAGAGGGGAGGATGGATTGCTCTTTTGGGTGAGGCTTAAGGTATAAAGTGACCTGGTTGGTGGTCTAGGTTGCTGTCCCTTTCTCTGGATCATCACTGTCCTCTCCTGCTGACTGGCCAGTGTGGGGCTCATTGCCCCAGGGCAGGTTGTGGCATGTGGCTTAGGAAAACTGAACTGAGAGGCAGAGTTTGGGTCACTGGAAAATTTGAGGACGCATCTCTCAGAACCTTGTTTAGCCTGAATCCTACCACCTCACTCCCAGAATGGCCTCTGGCTTGAGCAAGCTCTCTGATGGGCGAGTGTGTGTGTGTGTGTGTGTGTTGAGTTTGCAAACCATATCTAATATTGCAGAAATTAGTGGGAGCTGAGGGAGAGAAGGCGTTCAGGGCTCATTTCTAACTCTATTCTAGACATTTAAATGGGGATGCAGGGTGTCTGAGGAAGTGACTGGGGCTGATCACAGACAGGCCAAGGGGACTCTTGAACCTGCCTAATAAACAATTTTTGCTATCCCCCAGTGATATATTTAGGTCAAAGAAGCTGCTGCCAAGCTTTGGGAAGATGCTGGAGAACATCTTCCTGCCCCTTTTTGAGGCCACAATCAACCCTCAGGATCACAGAGAGCTTCACCTTTTCCTCAAATATGTAAGTGTGGTGGTGCCCAGGCAAGTCACCTAGTGTACAGGGAGGGAGAGGATTCTGGGTATCTGTCTGGGTCATTTTCTCATAGTCCCACCCTGGCTTCTCTTTTTATTTTCTGACATCTGTGTGCCCCAGACATGGAGGGTTGCCTCAGGAAACTAAATTCCTAAAATAATGGCGCCTTGCCCAGGGAGGAATGTCCCCTTCTCTTCAGGGCAGCCCCAGGGGAAGAGTGATGGGGCAAGATGTGTCCTGTCCTGGGAAGGAAAGCTATAGGTGAGAGGCTGAAGAGTCAGTTCCTGATCAGATTAGGCTGGGGACACCAGATCAGGAAGCAGCCTTTTTTAAATTGTGGTTTGAATGAATGTTTACAAAGCAAATTAGTTTTCCATTCAACAATTTATACAAATTTTGTTTCCTGACATTGGTTGCAATCCTTTCAATATAACAACACTCTTCCCACTTCCTCCTTGGGTTCCTCATTTCCATTTGTCCTTCTTTCCTTCCCCTTCCTATCTATTGAGCTTTGTTTTGGGGCAGATACTGCCCTTTTGGTCTGTTCTGGTTAACTGTTCTGAGGACTAGCTTCATCATCAGTGTTATTGTGGCGTAGTGCCTACAGCATTTGACTGCTAACCAGAAGGCTATCGGTTCTTGGAAGGAAGACTGGGCAATCTACTTCTGTAGACATACTGCCTCAGAAACCCAAAGAGGGGTCACAGTCGGAACCGACTTGATGACAGTGAGTTTGGTTTTTGGCTTTGGTTGTTTGGTTGAAAGGTGATCGCTGGGTGGCTTCAGTTCTAGAGTCGAGTCTTCTTTAGAAATGCAGACATTTCGACTCCTTTGCTTTTACCATTACAAACAAAAGTCCTTACACCTTGTTTGGTTAAGTTCACTAAGCCCTCGGAAATGTTACTCTTCCATGTGTGGTTAGTTATGGGAGAGGGAGAGAAGGGATGAAGGAGAGACTTAACCAGAAAGAGAGTGAAGGGGCAGTAGCTGGTCATCCTCTGGGTGTCCAGAATAGAGGGGTGCAGATAGTGAGAGGCAAGCTCAGTACCTGGTCCAGGTGATTTCTGGCAGGGAGGAGCCTAGCGGCCTGGGGGGTGAGGGAGAGGTGATTGAGCCAGTGTGTGTGTAGAGGGGCAGGTGCCAAGAAGGAGTTTGAATGAGTGGAGGGACATCATGGAATTTGTTTTAAACAAATCATTCTGGCTATTACGTGGAGAATGGCCTGGAACAAAAGGTAGTTGGAGGTGGGGGGAAGGGCAAGAAGAGAGTCAAGTCAGAGGGCCTGTTCCAGCAATGGAGACAGATGATGGGAGCTTGGACCAGTGGTGAGAGCTCACATCTATCAATTGCTAACTGCCCCACCTAGTGATACACACCATGTCAATTATCCTATCATTATCACTACTCGGTTAATAATAAGCAGAATTATGTGCATGTCATGTGTTAGGTCCATGGAGTATTTCATTTAATCCTCAAACAGGCTCTATGAAGTACTAGCTCCAATTTACACAGTAAGAAATTAAAACAGTGGGGTCACGAGCTAAAAAGTAGCAGAACTGGAATTCATATCCAGGCAGGCTGACTCCAGAGCACGTGCCATTACCCCTAGACAAAACTGCTTTCCAAGGAAGAAAAGTGAGGTGTGTAGTAACTTACCAGCCTGTGGCCCTGAGCAGATGGCAGGGACTCTGTGGGCAGAGCAGGGGTCTTGGCAAGAAGGGGTGGGTGGTAGGATTGACAGGGCAAAGACTGAAGGTGAGGAAGAGGGAAGAGTCTAGGATGCCTCCCAGGGGTTTGGCTTTGTAAGAGAGTGGATGTGGCTGGCACCTTTCAGAGGTCACTGCCACCAGTGGGAGATGAGCAGACTTGGGGAAGAGGAGGAGAGTTGGGGTTTGGACATGTTTGTGTTTGAGGCCTGGGGGAGACCAAGGTGGTGAGGCTCGGCATCAGTTGGATCTAGAGCCCAGGGGAGGGCCTAACCTCATCCTTCTTCCAAAGGTGGAAAAACCAGGACATGGAGACTTCAGGTGAAGTATTGGGTGGTGAGCACAGAGCAGCACTTGAGGCCCTCCTCTGCCCTCCCGACCCATCCAGGGGATGCCTAGAGCCATAGCAGGGACCTGGCCCTTTCCTTTGACAGAAATGACTCTACAATGGGCAAGATTCTGGCCCAGACCCTCATGGTCTTCCTCCTCTGGCCCCTACTGCCTTTATAGGAACAGGCTGAAAGACCTAGCTGGGGTCTGGGAGCACCCCAGTTTGGACCAGTTATGGAGTGAGATTGGACAGTCTTTCTCTCATCTGGTGTTCCTCTTCCCAAAATGCTGTTGTGCCTGAGGAAAAGGAAGCGGATATGTTAGCAAAACTGCCCTGATGTGTTGGCCAAGAGGCTGTGTCCTGTATCTTCTGTAGGTACATTCTTGGTTGAGGCTTGATCTCTAGAATCAACTAGAAGGCTCTGAAAGCCAGCCTGATGACCAGGGTAGGGTCACCCAGGGGCAGAGTTTGGGTGCCAGTTGAGGTGTAACTGCAGTAGAAGGATGGGTTTCCTGAGGCATCTCTAACTCAGCTTATAGGGTAATCCCTGTCTTGGTTACATCATGCTTGTCTAACAGAAAATACCACAAATGAGTAACTTTAACAAACAGGAGTTTGTTCTCTTACAGTTTTGGAGGCTAGAAGTCCAAGTTCAAAGTGCCAGCTCTAGGGCCTGTGTGAAAGCCCCTTGACCTTGGGCTACGTTGAGCTGTTTCTTGCTCCCAGCTCACTGGAACAAGAGGCATCTCTTCACTCAGGCAGCTGCTGGCTGCTGAGGCTTATAAGCCTAAGGTCAACAAATAAAATGGCACAGTCCCAGTATTACCAAACAATATGGCAGGCTACTAGTTCAAGTCCAGAGATAGTGCCAAGAATGGCAGGATATACGGCAGGCAACTAAATGAAGACTGTAGGGTCCAAGCATGCCAAAAAACTGCAGAGACCTTTCTCAAAACTTCTTATATACTGGAAGCAGACCACTTCCCTAAGGCAGCTACTCAGCTGCTCCAGGAGATTCCACGTGGAGTTGATTACCAGTCTCATCATGGGGAATAACTACATCACAACTACTTAAAACACTCAGATTCATAGTCTAGCCAAGTTGACACAACCCCAACTATCACAGTTCCCAATGAGGACATAGGGGCAGGACCTACCTCCTGAGAACCATAGCTTTCCAATGGGCTCTCCTGGAAAGGGCCAAGGCCTGCTTGTGAGGCGTCCAGGCTAGTCTCAGATGGCCATGCCTGGGACATGCCTTAGGGTATTCTCCACCTTCAGGTTTGGTTGTCTCATTTGGGAAGTTCCTTAATTGCTCAACTGTAAAATGACACCAATCCCTCTCTCACAGGGCTGCTCTGAGTCTTTTTTTC